GGCAAGAGTTGACTGTATAATCATATTTACGGACACTTGTCAATCAAAACCCATTGCTAGATTTATAGATCGTTAAAAGTTCAGTAATCGAATTAAGAGAAAAGAAAGTTACATAAAGAATATATTTGACTTCATTTTTTATMCTTATAGGAAAATATACTTTCCCGGTTGCATTTTCACTTGGTGATGAGTGAACATGATGATGGCTGCAACGCCCAGCATTGTATCACACACCAGAAGTTTGCAATGCATTTAATTGAGCAGGTAATACTATTGCTGCCGCAGTGGACAGTTTCCAAGGCATTAGCATGTGCAAATACTCCAATTTCGAGTTCTGGTTTGCTCAGTGTTAACCTCAAAACCAAGTAACATTTGTTTTGTCTCATTGATAAGACAAGATTCAAACAAATGGAAATTGTGAAGAAAGACAATAAAATTGATTTGAAATCTCAGACTTTTATGCTGACATTTAGAAATATTTTGCCTATAAAATGAGACTAACACAGAGCATTGGAGAATTCAAAACTTGAGTATTCCACCAACTGCCATCTGTCTTTGTTTGCTTCAAAACCTAGTTAAGGGCTGCCTCTGAGTGATATTAAAACTAAGACGTCTTTGCTAGTGTTGGGTTGCCTCAATGGTGACAATTTGCRTTTTGTATATCTGATAAAACACTAGTGTTGTATTATATTTGCAAGCCTGTCATTTACCTGATCAAATAAGACAGTCTTTATAGGATTAATAATTTATTAATAATTAAAGAGTTTTATAAGAAAATTGCAAACTAAAGATGTAGATAGTTCAATATTTTGTTGTAATTACTTTCAGACAATATGCCATTGTGGAGAGAGATCAGAACCACTTCCTTTCTTCCAGACAGTTCATTATGTTTCAGCATCRGCATTATGGTAAGATAATTTATTCCTGGCTTAACTACTGGTATGGTTAATACACACTTCAYCTAAGACTGCTTCACAACAGATGCTTCACCCACTTGCACTTGCAAGAAAYGCCTGGATACTAGGCTTATATTTTCTTTTCTTTTGTTTCAAGTGCTGAGGGAAGGAAAAATGAAAAACTYGCAAGACCAGAGTATGACTACAACAAACACTTTGGTACTCTCCTCAGACTKACTGGCCAAGACACAAAACTTTGCAATGTAAGTTGATTGACAGCTGTCAGTTTTCCTGTTTTTTTTTAAAAAAGAGTGTATTTTATATATAAACAATTCAGTGATAAATAACACATCAATGTGTAAGTTGATTGACACCAGTCACTTTTGTTAAATTCTTTGGAAGAGTGGACATAGAGTGTGGTGAATATGTCATTATTATTCATGGAAGTTGATTGRCAGATGTCAATTTCACCAAATTCTTTGAATAATGCATCCATGATAATACAGAGAGTAGTAATTAATGTGTTATTTTGTTCCATGTGATTGACACCTGTCAATAATGTTGAAATGGTTTGTTTGTCAGGGTCAAGATTGTGGAAGACGGATTCAAGTTCAAAGACTCTTACTGAATTGCCCTGATATAAGTAAGTAAAGTTTGATTGACAGCTGACTGTTATTAGCCTCATTTGTAAAAATCTGTATTTGTTTTACAGTTAGTATCGGTCTAAACTGGGATTCTGAATCGCCCGATGCTGAACACATAGCAGAAGTTCTACAATGTATTGGTACSACGTTGAAATTACCCCACGTAAGTTATGGGTACCGCAGTGTCAACATTATAACTTTTGAGCCATTATCTTTCCCATTTTTCCAACGGAAATTAAAGAACCCGGTTGGAGACGATACGGAAGAACTAGAATCTGTGTCATTCGATATACGCACACTGGTGACGCATGGGAATTTTTGAACCAATCAAAGACTCATTCATCTCAAACCAGACGCTCTGATTTTCTGAAGGATTTGAGTAAGAGAATGTACTCGAGCCTAAACGTTTGTGTTGATTGTTGTCCTTGTTTATACCCTCCAAGTTTGTGAGTTTGAACTTCTGAGTACAATAATTATGGCCGTTAGCCATGCTTAACAGTGGTAGCGTTTTGGAACATTTTTAGTCTGTGTACATCCGTTTCCACTCCCCCCCCCCCCCCCCCCCCCCTTTACGGGGGAAATTCGGGGGAGGGGTGGGAAAGAACGTTTTGTGCTCTACCAGAGTCATTTTGGCATTTTTTCTATTCTGAGTTGCTTTAGAAACCCCATCATATGCTGTCAAAGTAGAAAAATGTATGCCAGCTCTTTTACAAACGACGCAAAAAACATTTTAATGATATTCATAAGCGACTATTTGTTATTCACAGATTTTTCATCAAGTTTCGTCAAAGACTGCACAGCAAGCGACGTTGCACCTTGTTGGCATAGTAACATACTATGGTAAACATTACTCAACGTTCTTTTTTCATAGCAAATTACAAACTTGGATATACTTTGATGACGCTAAGGTTAGAGAGGTAAGTCAAACACCCCACCCACCCCTTCCATCAGTATCATCGTTACCATAAATAAACATTAATTATCATCATTACAATCATTTAAAATATTACCACGTGATTACCTTATCGTTGCGATCTGCACTCCTCCGCAGCCAATACTCCAGTTTCGAATTATTTTTTTTGTGCAAACTTAGCTTCAATCCAGCATAAATTTTTCTTGTCTTCTTTGCACACATATTGTTTGCATTACAATAGATTCTCTGCTCAATAAAAGAATATATTACAAATAAGATCTCGAAACTAGAATATTCTTATTTCCTCAATGATCAAAGGCCTTCCGTTATACACAGGAAACCCGAGATTAGCAATAACCTTTCTTCAAGCCTCCTCGGCAGGAATAACTGGGACTCCTCTCATTTTGCCCCTTGGGTTTCCTTTGCTTTGTCTTCAATGACAGTGRAATGAGAACGAGAAAATAATTAAAGAAAGAGTTCATACACAGGAAAGCCATGGGTAGAGAGAGTACAGTGATGCATGCTGGGCCGTTTTCGGAAACATTACGAAAATAACTCGTTTTTRGCTGCGCACGATGTTTTTTTTAGTGCCGCAAAAATTGCCGCCATTTTGAAAACACTAAATATTGTTATTTTTTGTGTCAGATTGGACCAGACTGGTCTGTTATACGAGAYAAGTGTCGTCGYTGTCACTACCAACCRCTTCTTCTCCTCTACGCAAACCCAAACGGGACAAAAATCAACGTTGCTACTGCTCCTAAAGAAAAAATATTCATAAACCCATCGGCGATTGTACGGAAGACYGAAATTAGTCCGATGAATAGGCGAATAAGTGCCGAAGTTACCCGACACGATTACGAACGACATCGYAARAGRAGCCGACCGAGTAGTCCTGAGAGTGGCTTAGTTGAAAGTGATTCAGAGAGCAATTTTAGTACACTTAAGTCTGAATCAAAGAGCAAGACAAAGTCTTCKTCAACCATTGARGGCTCAGACGATACACTCAAAGCACGCGATAACATAGAAAAAACTTTGAATGAAGATGACAACACTTTGAAAGCTCAAGACCRTAGCAGAATACATCGAAAGGACATGGTTTCGTTAAAGGACGACAAGTCACCGAAGTCTCGCCGAAGTAAGTCATGTGACTGGCTCGAGGATGGGTCGGCACGTTCGAGTAAAACTCGTATCAGGGGCAGAACGGGGAGTACTGGGTCCGACGTGACGGAGACACTGAAGAGAAAGCATCGCGATAAGAGCGGGAAAACAAAGAAGACAGGACTGAGGAGGATTGGTAGCGCGATATTTCAAGCAATGAAGCCCGCCGTAGCTATATCACACATGAAAACTTCAAAGAAGAAATCAAAAGACCGTGCGTCMATTACGTCGTCAAACGGGGAGCTGAGGTGAGTTAATGACTAATCTGTCAGAGGGAAGTCTGGGGAAAAGCCGCCTTTTCTACAAAGGTGTTTTTACATTGTCATTACATTGTCATTTTGCCTGAATGGCAAAATTATCATATATTCTCTTCTATGTTCATTGAAGACACATGTGCATCCAAGAATCTTTGCGCGATTTGCTCGATATGAAAATTCGCCATCTTAGATTGTAAACCAATCAGAAAAATTTTAAAAAACAAAAATCGCAAATGTTCTCGGATGCAAAATGGACTTTAAATGGCGCTTTATCGTGTCTTTTTCTTTCATCTTGCCGCTATTCTATCCCCCTCTGGCGACCTTACATGACCTTAKTTATTGCGTTGCTGCAACACCTAATGTTCTGACGTGACGTCATATAGAAATAGCGTAATTGTGAGGGAAATTATTTATCATATTTCTACAGTCCAAGCTCTGAGACAACAAAGCAGGACGGCCTTCGTATGAACGACCAAGCTCAACTAGATGGTTACCTTCGATCTCCCAGTCACGACAGCGGTATTGGATCGGCAACGGGTTCCGTCAGCTCGTCGGACACTAACCATGGCGGCAGTGACGATGACTTGGTGGAATATAGTCAGACTCTTTCAGCGATGAGAAATGGTCATGGGATAAATGGAAAAGTGAATGGAAGAAATCGGAAAGGTAGGAGAAATGT